GGGGAGTGAGAGAGATAAGAGAAGAAGAGAGAATTTAAGATGAGGAGAGGAGAATAAGAGAGACACAGGAATATGAGAGACAGATATTAAGAAGACAGAATATAGAGAGACAATATAAGCAGAGAGAGAGACGATGGAGAGAAAGAGAGAGATGAGAGCCGAGAGAGAGAGAGAGAGCAGTGAGAGAGAGAGGAGATGAGGAGAAGAGAGAGACGGAGAGAGAAGGAGAGAGAAAGAAGAGGAGAATAGAGTGAAAGATGGCGAGAATAAGAGAGAGACAGAATTATGCAGAGACAGAATATAAGAGAGACAGCTGAGGAAGAAGAGAGAGAGAGAGAGAGATGAGAGATGAGAGAGAGAGAAGAGAGAGAAGAGAGAGATGAGGGAGGAGATGAGAATAGAGAGAGAGGAGAGACGGAGAGAGAGAGAGAAAGGAGAGAGAGACGAGAAAGAGAGAGAGAGAGAGATAATAAGAGAGGAGAGAAAGAAAGATAATTAAGAGAGAGAAAGAGGATAATAAGAGATAGAAGGAGATTAATAAGAGGAGAGAAGAAGATAATAAGAGAGAGAAAGACAGAGAGAAGGAGTGAAATACATAGGAGATAGTAGGAAAAGAGTAATAAGACGAGAGAAAGATAGAACGATCCAGAGATTAATAACGCAGAGAGAGACTGAGAGATGGCGGAGAAGCGTGAGATGATAGGAGAGGAATGATGGATGGAGAGGAGATGAGAGAGAGACGAGAGAGGAGAGAACGGAACGAGCAGAGATGAGAGAGAGAGGAGAGCCACAGAGAGATGATAGAGAGATCCAGAAGAGAGAGAGAGAAGACGAGAGAGACAGAATTAGACGAGAGAGAGAGAGAGAAGGAGAGAGAGAGAGAGAGAGAGAGGAGAGAGAGAGAGAGAGAAGAGAGAAGAGAGAGAGAGAGAGAGAGAGAGAGAGAGGGGGGGAGGAGAGAGAATAAGATAGAAAGAGAATATGAATGAGAGAGAATAAGATAGAAAGAGAATAAGAGAGTAGGGGGGGGGCTGCCCCTCCCCACAAACACCTGATACAGCAGGCAAGGTCCTCCCAGGAAATTGTTCAGGGACAGGGTCCAGGCAGACTTGTATGGCAATAGCAGAATAGCAGACAGCTTTAACAGAAACCCTAATAGGTATGCAGTCCTATTAAGATAGGAATCCCCACCTCCAGCTCATGCCAACACCCCCCCATTTCCTACCCTCCCCCCTTATGTATCCTAGACACCCACACCTTGCCCACACCAGGAAACCATCTCTCATGGCTTCACAGTTACATGTGCTGGCCTCAAAAGTCTGAATAAACTTCCCCTACTTCTGCCCTGGGGCATAGTTCACATAAAGAGGGTTCATCTCCAGGTAGAGCCCCGTCTGCCTTCGAGGCATGACAGTCTAGGATAACTAGGCTATTCTCCACGTGTTTACACAGGTTCCAGTGTGCCGTTAGTCTTTTAATTTTCTTTTGGGGAGGCTATTTAATCTTGCTGGCTTAATGATCTATCTTCAAATTGGGCTTATAAAGAAGTGCAAACCAAACTAATCCTTTATTTCCATTCCTGTCTCCATGAAGAAAAACAGTTTCAAAGAAAAAACAATGGAAGTAAAATTGTAACAGTCACTTGTGCTCAGGCATTTCCTGTCATGAATTCCAGGAGTTGCAAATCTATTTAACTCTCTTCCATTTCTTGCTCACCTTACTTCACTGAAGTCTGATCCTTGTTACCTCATGGCTTCCACTTTCAAAAATCAACATCGGAGGCAATAAAAGGCATGAATCAAACTCACATTCAGCAAAGGATATTTGAAAGAATGAAAGGGATCAAAGACAGGAGCCACCCCTCCCACACTTACTCCTTCCCACACACAAAATCCTTCACCTTAGATTAGAAGGATCACTGTCACAGGAGACAATACACAAAGAAGGATATCAGCCAAAGAGACCACAGTACATTCACCCTAAACTGCCCCAGGCCATATTTTGTCGGTAACCTTGGAGCTACCTTGCTAATCTTGCCTACCACGTGGTTCATCATGCTACTAATAAGAGGTTGACACTAATGAGCCAAACAGACCACCTTGTCAATTTTCTGATCAGGAACACTGTAACACTCTCTCTCTCTCTCTCTCTCTCTCTCTCTCTCTCTCTCTCTCTCTCTCTCTCTCTCTCTCTCTCTCACTCTCTTCTCTCTTTCTCACTCTCTTCTCTCTTTCTCACTCTCTTCTCTCTTTCTCACTCTCTTCTCTCTTTCTCACTCTCTTCTCTCTTTCTCACTCTCTCTCTCTTTCTCACTCTCTTCTCTCTTTCTCACTCTCTTCTCTCACTTCTCTCTCTTTCTCACTCTCTCTCTCTCTCACTCTCTTCAACTCTCTTCTCTCTTTCTCACTCTCTTCTCTCTCACTCTCTTCTCTCTTTCTCACTCTCTTCTCTCTTTCTCACTCTCTTCTCTCTTTCTCACTCTCTTCTCTCTTTCTCTCTCTCTCGCTTACTATCTCACTCTCTCGCTTACTATCTCACTCTCCCACTTCCTATCTCACTCACTCATTCTCTCACTTACTCACTTACTCACTTAACTCACTCACTCCCTTACTCTGACTCTGACTCACTCACTCCCTTACTCTGACTCTGACTCACCCTCTCATTTCTCCTTTTAGTTCTTGTGAACAAGTGGTGAAACAGTCACAATAATGTTCCTTCTTTTTCTTTCACTGAATATGATTCTCACCAATTCACTTTCACTTTTCATACCTGATCTGTCCTTCTTCACTAATACAGCTTGTATGTTTTTATATATATATATATACATTATATATATATATTATATATATATATATATATATATATATATATATATATATATACATATATAACTTTCTATTTTGAACAAACTCAAGTTCAAATTATGACATTCAACAAGTGGACTTAGTTCAAATGTTGAAATAATATCAAAGTCTACACACTAACACGGACAACTCACACTGTCATGATAAAGTACCCTGATGTAAAATACGCACTCACTGAAATATCTTGTGTCAGTCAGATTCCAAAATCCAAAATCACTACAAAGGCCCTAAAAAGTACTTAATAACAGCAAAAATCACTCGAGAAAACTGCTAAAAATGCAAAATATTCTTGAATCAAGGAAAAACAATCTAACATATGTCGGCTTACTCATTATCAAAAACAATGATAGTGAAAATACTAATAACAGTAACAGTAATAGTAATAGTAAAAATAATAATAATAATAAACAATGATGATGATGATATTAATAATAGTAATAATAGTAATAATAGTAATAATAATAATAATGATGATGATAATAATAATAATAATAACAATAATAATAATAATAATGATATCAATGACAACAAACACAATCATAATATCAACAATATAATGAAGGATCAAATCCATTACCTTAGTTTTGATTTTGGTCTTTATAATGGGGTTTGCACTATCCGGATTTTCAACCACCACTTCAAGCTCCTCTGTCTGTGCGGGCACTACCTGAACCTCTAGTGTCTTGTCTATCATGGGTTCATTTTCCTCGCCTCCTCCTTCCATCACCTCCTCTGGGCTTTTCTCTTCCTTACCGAGTACCATCTTGTCTCAGTAAGGGAGGTGGGGGGAAGGCTTAACTGGCTGACTGAACAGAAAGCAATGTTCTGCCTTTTACTTAGTTGTTGTACGTTAATAGTATAAAATCTTGAGGGAAGCGAGAAAGCTCAAGGTACAAGTGAATGCATCTCTGTTAATTTACCTGCTGGTAATTTGGACTACGGATAGAAACTGCACATCACCTTCCCACACAGCAGCTTCATTCATAAGAAAATGAAAATCACAGTTTCAACAAAGCACACAATCTGAACATCTCTTCAAAACAGGGAGTAAAAATCTTGGCAAGAAACTTTGATCGGTGAAGGAGAGCCAGCGTGTTCTCCACAATCAAAAAAAATAAAACACAATAATTAAAAAACGATGAAGAATAAGAGCCTAATGCTGGGGACACGTTAACCAAGACACTAGGGAGTAGACTGTGCCAGACAGAGTGCCACACTTGACAGAGGCTCCTGCAAGCCAAAACAACCAAGTCATGTGGGGTATGCAGCACCCACACTTGCCACACAGCTACTGGATGCACACATTTTAGCCTGGATCATACAGCATGTCTTCCGTCCCACCATCAGGGCCATGGAGAGTTGCCACCTCACCTTTACTGTGGGTTCCCTCCCTCCAGTGTTGCTATATGTCTTTATCTATCATGACAGCTAATTTAGTTTCTCAGAAAATTAAGTCTCTGATGACAAAATAAAAGTAAAGGTATCAAACAAACATTTAAAAGGAAAAGTAGCACACTGCACAAAAAGGAACTTAAAAAAAGACATGTTTTAATCTGTCTACTTTCCCAGCAGTTGCCACATGCTGGTGAACTCCAAGACAGCAAAATCAAAAAATTGCCTAACCTGCAACTACCCCACCAACCTCCAACACCACACAAATTACTCCTCAAGAATGGGGGGGAGGGGGGAGTAGTGAGTGGGGGAGGGGGCAGACTTCAGTGCTAATCCTTCAGTGAGTGGGGGGAAAAGAGAGGTTTAAGAAAATAATAATAAAATAAAGACAAAGAAAGAAACAGCCACAACACCAAGCCAGTGACCTGAAACCAATGGGGAGAGGGTGGGAGGGAGGGAAAGGGGCAGGGGGGAGAGGGAAGGAGGAGAGGGAGGTAGAGGAAGGGAAAGGAGAGGGAGAGGGAGGGGGAAAGGAAAGAAGAGAGGGAGGGGGAAAGGGGAGGGGGGAGGGGGGAGGGGGAAGGGGAGGAAGAGGGAGGGGGAAGGGGAAGGGAGAGGGGGAGAGAGAGGAGAGGAGAGAGAGAGAGAGAGAGAGAGAGAGAGAGAGAGAGGAGAGAGAGAGAGGGAGAGAGAGAGAGAGAGAGAGAAGGGAGAAGAGGAGGGAGAGAGAGGGAGAGAAGAGAGAGAGGAGAGAGAGAGAGAGAGAGAGAGAGAGAGGAGAGAGAGAGAGAGAGAGAGAGAGAGAGAGAGAGAGAGAGAGAGAGAGAGAGAGAGAGAGAGAGAGAAGAGAAAGAGAAAGAGAGAGAGAGAGAGAGAGAGAGAGAGAGAGAGAGAGAGAGAGAGAGAGAGAGAGGAGAGAGAGAAGAGAGAGAGAGAGAGAGAGAGAGAGAGAGAGAGAAGAGAGATGAGAGAGAGAGAGAGAGAGAGAGAGAGAGAGAGAGAGAGAGAGAGAGAGAGAGAGAGAGAGAGAGTGGGGTGGGTTAAGATAGAAGGATAGAGGGGGAGGGAAAAAGAGGGAGAAAGAAAGGGGAACAGAAGTGAAAAAGAGAGGAGAGAGAGAGAGCAGAGAAACTGATTTACAGAAATAAACCCACATAAAACCTTGACTCATGATTTTCTTTTCCACTAGAAATATCCACCTAAATCCAGTGACAATATGATTTACCCTCACTTCAGGCAAATAGGTGAATCATCAATAAATTTGGTACTTTTAAAGGTATAAACGCAATATCGACATTAATGTGTTATATACAGAGCATAGATTATTTGTATCAGCCAATATAAAAGCATGAAAAAAGGCACGTATCCCTGTCTTTACAAACGCTATGAATAGATAAATGAAGAGAAACAAGAGCTTAAAATTATGCTGTGTTTATGCACAGGTTCTGTATAATAATCAACTCTAAGGCCTGTTATAATGGCCATTCCAATTACCATGAGTAAAGTATTACCTGTTGTTCCACCGCAGGTATATCATGTTATCTACTTATCTATAATGGCCTATTTCATGGACAGTGACCTTACCTTGTACCTTCACAAGGTCATTTCCTATGATCAGGGTTCCCCTTTGCGAAGGAGAGTCTCACGTTATTCTGAGCTATCACAGTACCTTATCAGAAGTGTACTGAAGACACTACACTTACACTCTGAGTATTTGAAAAGTTGCTGATGCACCCTTTTTAGTGTGGGTGTAGGAAGTCTATGTATTCATGTCCACTCTGGGTAGGAGTATTTACTTTGAGGACCTATGGAATTGTAAAAGTGTTCTGGGTGGAAGGATAGTGAACTAATTTTGAGGGGGAAAACTTATGGGAGCAGTTACTCTCCATACTGTATAGGGAACTATGCAACACTGATTTTGGTAAATGGAGTTGGTCTTGGATTTGTATTTTCTTCTGACATGTATTACTCACAGAAATATTAAAAGAATAAAAAAAGAAAAAGAAGATGAGGTGGTTGAGGCAGGGGAGAGGAGGAGAGGAGGAGGAGAGGAGAAGGAGGAGGAGAGGAGAAGGAGTAGGAGGAGGAGGAGAAGTAGGAGGAGGAGAAGTAGGAGGAGGTAGAGGTAGGAGGAGAGGAGGGAGGAGGAGAAGACAAAAGAAAAAAAAAATAAATACATAAACTAAACAAAAGCAGAAAAAACAGAGGAGTGTACACTATTTCTTACACACCTCTTTAAAGAGCACCTTCCAGGATGTTAGTCACTAAAATTGACTCATAAGTTTCATCCTAAAAATGAGACACACACACACACACACACATGTAATTGTCTGAGGACTTTCTTACAGTACATGTTATTTATATCACTGGCCTCAGCATCACAAAAAATATGCAGTAATACCCATGTTAAAACCAACCTCCCCCTTGAAAAAATATCAAATAATAACAAATAAATACGCATAAGGAGACAGATGCATATGTGTCATACATGTATCTGGAGGGAACATAGCATTGTAGCATTGTTGTGTTCCAGACAGTATGACATGGCCATAGCATTAAAAAAAATAATAATAAATCATACCTAAAGGAGCTCTGGTGAGCTTAGTTTCAAGATGCCCAGCTTAGCTATGCCCGGGTGCATCTGACCTTAGGAGTCATCCCAGGAAGAGGATGTGGTCATGACAACCACACAGCTGTCGGGCAATCAGAAGAAAGGCCGTAGCATATTATTTTCTTGTGTCTGGGCTAAGGCCCCTACTATGCTAGGCCATTTTGTGGTGAATGGCAATTGCTGCCTTGGCCTTGAACTGCCTTCGCTAGGCTTCTTTTTCTTTTAATTTTTACATCACGAATCCCAAACTAGTGGCGGGAAGAAGGGAAAGAGATCACTCATGGAGAGGTGGTGAGAGGGAAGAGTGGAAGGAAAGGAATGGAGGGAGGGAGAAGGGAGTGGAGGAAAAGAGGAAATGAGGGAGAGGGAGGGAGTGGAGGATAGGAAATGGAGAGAGAGAGGGAGTGGAGGAGAGGAAATGGTGAGAGAGGAAGGGAGTGGAGTGAGAGAGAGAGAGAGAGAGAGAGAGAGAGAGAGAGAGAGAGAGAGAGAGAGAGAAGAGAGAGAGAGAGAGAGAGAGAGAGAGAGAGAGAGAGAGAGAGAGAAGAGAGAGAAGAGAGAGAGAGAGAGAGAGAGGGAGAGAGAGAGAGAGGAGAGAGAGAGAGAGAGAGAGAGAGAGTGAGAGAGAGAGAG